TAACGATGCTATTGAAAAGGGATAAGCTGGCTTACACTTGACACCGTAGTCCTTTTCGATCTTCTCAGCTTCTTTCAGTGCTTGCTTGTTGCTATTGTACCAAATAGCCACATTAGCGCCAGCCTCTGCCAGCCCTTGAGCAATGGCGAGACCAATACCTGCACCAGCGCCAGAGACAATAGCTGTGCGACCTTTGAGAGAGAATAGTGGAAGAACTCTGGAAGTATCTGGCACAGCCATGTTATCATGGTGAAATGCACCAGTTTTAGGATCCATGATTGCAAATCAGGCTGAACTCAGACAATAGTAATGTTGTTTCACTTGAGCCTCTGGCGTTGAGTGATAAGCTTCAGGTCGACAAGGTTACGCACCCAAATCAATATTTGTAGGGCACCGTCATACTTTATATAGTCCTGTAACTTTTGTCCAATGCCAAACATCCTCGGCTCTTCTCCCAATTGAATATCTATCCTCATTTTGCGACATTTTATCGACGAACCAAACACACCAGACCAAGAATCTCCCACAGCCCTTGTCCCTTCAGTGGACCCAACGTACTGTATTACCTGAAGGTCTGTACCTTAGGTTAGCAAGGCACAAAGCCGTCTCCACCGTCTGGCGCACCTATGAACAGGCGTCATTCACAGATTAGCCGTTGTAAGACTTGATGTTTTGTGACATGCTGTAACAGCTTCGCCTCTAGTGTGACTGCTATTTCTGTCAGGGCCCGGGTGTTCACTTTCGGCCCTGTTACTGTCCATTCAGCTCTGATCAATTCTCCATATCTCGCCGGGTTGAGTCTGTCAACTGGCTGAATGGATTTCGCGGGGTTAAAGCGTCCCCCGCCATTAGCAGCTGTGCCAAATTTGACATAACCTTGTCTCTGCATTCAGGCTGGCGATTATCGCGGGTAAAATGAAGCCTCTATCTGTCTCATATTGAATAATACAGACACAACCTGCTACAGCCGGCAAGTGCATGTAACTAGAGCTCTGATTCATGAGTCTTACTGGTAAGGCGCCAACTATTCCAACAAGCCATCCAGCTAAAATTGAATCGCTTCCTTGTTTACCAGGCTTCTTCAACTTTTCTGTATGACTGGCGCTTCTTGTTTAGGAGCTTCAGTAATGTCTTTGTAGTTCTTGCTCCGATTGCTATAACCCATCCTCGTTCTGTTGTTGTAGCTGCGTCCAGCGACCCGACCTCCTGGTGTGTTTGTCACCCGGTAGCAAGACACAAAGTCATCATAGGGGACTGTTAAGTGAAACGTCAGCCAATATGTAAGGTTCAGAGCATTGATTGAAGACCTACTGTAGGCGCCGCAGATTCGCCGAATGCCCTTGAACGCACTTCGGCCGTGCAAAACTCGCCAGTTGTTGAAGACTAGACAAGGTCAGCATGTGACTGTAATTTCAGCAAGGTATCTCTCCACTTACTGACGATCTTTCCGGGTTCTAACTTGAACCAATACTCATTCTCTTTGCGGCGCAAAATCTCATTCCACACTCGAGCCGCGGCGTACCAGTTTTTAGCATCGTAGGGACTCACAGCACCACGATCATCGTTATTCCAACGAATTCGCTTCAGATGCCCACCTTCCTCCTGCTCAATGACAGGATACACCTTGTCTGGAGAAATAGATATTCCTACGTTACCGCTTGCATGCCATGGCAGCTCAACTTGGGCAAGAGTTTTGAAAGCCCAAGGGTTCTCCTTTCTCAGGGTTACAGCAGCGTTGAAGCCATCAACAAGGAGTGACTCTCCGCCTAAGGACTCCCCTTCTTCAAGCGCTTCACCCGGAGCTGGCTCGTGTGAGAGACAGTGAAATGCTTGTAAGCCTGCAGGCTCGGTAAAATATGTAGTGTCTGTGTGAGCTGGCAGAGCGAGGTTTGTGTACGCTGTATCAGCCATAGCAAGATCTGGTGTAAAGTCGTAGAAGCCGCCATAATGTGTATTTCTGATCGGACCAAGGCGCTTCAGAAGATCTTCCGTGGACTCGGGATAGACTGGTGCATCTGTGACGAAGCAGAAGCCGTGAATACGCTAGAAAACAATAAGCTATTGCGCCATAGTTATAGGTTTCAAAATGCCTTACAATCTTTTTCGTAAGCTCACCGATAGCTTCCCAACCGTGGTCGACGAAGAATTGGTTGTAAGGAACTGAGGGAGGATGGGTCTCAATGGTCGAGTCCCACAATCGGATCATACTAAACTGTCAGAGATCTCGACATTGTAAGTACTTTAGTGGTGGTGAGCTTACTGATCCTTACCAAACTCTTCGGAGTATGCTCCTCTGAACCAGCAGTGGAGGTATGACAGAGGATGTTGGCTCTCGTGGCCATCAGACCCTATGGCAATCAGTATTTATCAATAGCGCCACCCAAAATCAAATCAGCTCTTACAGTTAACAAGGAGTTTGTCCTCTGTTTCTTTGAAATCAACGACTTTGAGGTCCTCCTCTCTCAACTAAGTCATATATCAGCTTAGCAACATGGTCCCTGATGTGACGTAGAAGTAAGTAGTCACCCACCTGGAAAGTGTCAATATTCCTTTGCTTTGTATCCTGGTTGACACATTGGCTGCACTGGCAGTTATCTCTAGAAACCCATGAGCGTTTAGCAATCGATGAAAAAGGGTCGTCTACTCACCGTAACCACATGTTTGGACTTCACCCCAAGCCCAAATGTCAGCGACCTCAATATCATAAGCGCAGCTTCACTTACAAGGTACGATACTCGGCGGTACTTTTACCATCCAAGGCCTGGCGTTTCATGCGAATCTGCGATGTTTCTGTACGTTGAATAGTTGTTTTGTGGGCGGACTTTTCGATTTGCATCCCCATTTCAGATTGGGCTTCCCTTTGCCTCCGTTTGGCTTCTCGGGATAGCATAGAGCCCAGACTGTACGGTTTCTTCCCAGAAACTGCAGCGCTTAAAGAACCAGGACGGCTAAAGAGCCTGGTGCTGTGGATAATAGAGAAATTAGCATGGTTGGTAGAGTCGTGAGAGTATCAAATTACCCAGGACACCGAGCAAGTCGGCTGAACATTGTGATGGAGTTGGGAGACAGTAAATAATACTAGATATTTTGTTTAGAGGTCAATGGTTATGAAGGAACAGTCATATAATACATTGCCTTCTTTCCCTAGCTGCATATACCTCGGTATATATCGGCAGCCCTGACATTCGCATTAGGATTCCGATAACCCGAGTTCGTGTGAGTCGACAAAGCAAAGGGCGTTTCTGTTCATTGATGGCACGTGCATAGGTGGAGCTTATGATCATCTCAACTACACTACCCATTACCTTAGTACTAAGGCTACTAGGTAATATTGCACTTACTATTTAGCACTTGAAATATTCAATGTTCACTTTTTGTCTCTGCTCTGGCAGCTCTACTTGCTGCTGGGATTTCTAAAGCATCTAATGGTTTAATGGATGGCTGAACGGCCGTCCAAAATTAAAACCTTTCCATTAAGCATGAAAAGAAGAAGAAGAAAAAGAGAGAGAAAAAGACTAGCCACACATTTGCCATTTCTTTTGAGGAAACTTATTAGTGCATATGTATGGAGGAGACTTTACTTTGCTCAGTTATCTTTTTGTTAAAGTTTTGGGGGAGATAACGTTTCCATCAACAGCCGCTCGAATGGCATGTGTCCTAACCATATCAGAGGCAGAATGAGCGAATACAAGTAAGGAAGACCGCTACATCATTAGCAGAGACCAATGGTGGGGTTGGATGTAAGAGATAGTTATGAAGTACTTACTTATTATGTTAATAGATATCTTGTTAAACATCGATAGTTTTAGTTCACAGTGGCTGGTGTCGCTAAAGACAGGGATATTTGTTCTACCAATAATGTATTTACAGCATGATCAATATGGTGTTATGCGACATAGCCTCGAACTAATAAAACCCCAGTTAGGCTTTAACCTCAACTTCTACCACATCCCCGAACGAAGCAAGTGTAAGCCATACTAAGTTCACCACAAGCATAGCCATTCGCCTGAACGGTGAAAAACCTCGCCATCCTACAGTCGTGCCCGTTGGGACAACATCCAGCAATGGGCCTGACATCACGGCAGCAGAGCTACTCGCCTCGGAGACGGGTGTGGCCAGTGAGAGCAATGAGGTGGATAGCATCGGCGAGGTTTTGATCGTTGAGCAAAATTATGGTTTTCTGAAGACTTCAAGCGGAGCACAGAGCTCAAATCGAGAACACTTTCTGGGCAAGCTCCAAAAGATCAAAGAAAGCTTCACGCTCCAGGTCTGTTTTAGAAAGCCCAAGTCCAAGGACCAGTATTCGTCGGTCATCAGGAGATCTGAGACAAATTTGGCTGGCAATTTGTGCTGCATAAAGTTGACCTAGAGTTTCACGCTCCTCACCCCCTCCACCAAATAGCGTTGTTGGTGTGAGATGTGTTGATGGAAGAAGGCCTTTGCTTGAGCTGGGAAGATTCATCTCAACAACGCCAGATGATGAACCTGTCAGGGGAACTTGTATCTGTTACAATGTCAGCTATGGTAGAGCTTGAAGGCTCGGAGTACTCAATTACCCATTGTGAAAGTCGACCTTCTTGGGAGATAGTGATGAGTATCTTGTCAGCGAAACTGGTGGATGTAATCTCTGTAGCTATGCCATTCACGAGACCTGAGACCTCTCGAGATCTGGAAGGGAAAGCGTCCTCTCTAACATCAGCAGTCGCCATCTTTGAAGAAGTATTATGCTTGAGTAGAGTTGAGCTTTAGCTTTGAAACCCCTTCGAGCTACTGGGCTAGGTTCAGGCGTTCCATGTCGCTGAGCTAGACGGCCCCACCACCCCGCACTATACCTAAAGCAGGTCCAGGTTCTGGCGGTAATTCACGGCAGAACGACTTTGTTCCCAAAATTTCATGGAGTTCATCGTCGCATCTGCGACTTGGGTTGATCTTCCAACGTATCAATATTTTCATGCCATTTTCGCAAAATTATTGTCAATTCGCTAGACAGTAAAAAGAAAATGGCCAAATACGTTCCTCGTCAACGCAAGCACAAAGTCCTCGCCCGTGAACGAGCCAAGGAGAATGCTCAGCATGAAGTCCAGGACAACCCAAACCAGGAGATTCTCCTGCCGACGGCCAAGGCTGATCGGGAGGCCAAAAAGGCACAGATGAAGGCGGAACTCCGCCAAGAAGGAGCTAAAATGAGCGGAAAGAAGGCCAAGCGATTAGAAAAATACATTGAGGGCAAGCTGCGCAAGGATGAGTCCCGCGAGCTGATGGCCAAACTTGCTGAGCAACAAATCGACACAACCTTGTTCTCGAGCAGCCGAGTCCTTGGCCAGGGTCGCGAAACCAAGAAGGAGGCTTTGAGGCGGGCTATGAGAGAGGAGAAAGCTGGTTTGGAGGGTGGTGAGGAGGAGAGAAACGAGATTCTTCTTGAGAAGAGAAAAGAGCTTAACGTGGATGAAGAGATCTCGAGCGATGAGAGTGAAGAATCTGAGCCCGACGAAAAAAAGCCATCCAAGCCCACACCAACTCCTGCGCCCGCGCCCACATCCAAAGAGTCGGATCAAACGAAAACAGAAACCTCTGCGCCAACAATTGGTTCGGGTCTGAAGAGACCGCTCGAGGTCGACGACGAAGGACGACCGGTGATCAAAAAGCGTCAGAAGCGAGGTGGAGTCAAGTCAAAATTCTCCTTAGCGCCAGTCGAAACGCCACTTGAGCTCGAGTCTGAAGAAGCCGACAGCGTTGCAAGTGATAGCGATAGCGACGAGTGGAATGGTTTCAGCGACGACTCGGCTGACAAGGATAACACCGCAGATGATGACAGCGAAAGCGATGAGGAAGAAGATGATGAATCCAGTGAGGGACCCGAAGGGTCTGATGAGGACATGGAAGACGCAGACGAAAACAAAGCACAGAGATCATCGTCTTTCAAGGCATGGGCACACCAACAGCGAAACGAAGCTCTGGGTTATCAATCCATCGAGGGAACAACAACAAATCTTGAAATACCCAAGCCAGAAAATTTTGTTCCCCGAGCCCCTGAGCAAGATCCTTTACCCATGGAACTGCAACCAACGCAGAATATTAACCGAAAGGTTTACAGCGTGACGGTTACGAGAACACCAGAAGTTCAGGAGGCTAGGTTAAAACTTCCCGTGGTATCAGAGGAACAAAGGATAATGGAAGCCATTCATAACCATGACATTGTCGTTGTTTGCGGTTCCACTGGTTCCGGAAAGACTACTCAAATTCCTCAGTTCTTGTATGAATCTGGTTATGGTTCACCCGACTCGCCAACGCCTGGTATGATTGGCATCACTCAGCCCCGTCGAGTCGCTGCTGTCAGTATGTCGAAGCGAGTTGGCGAGGAACTTGGTGATAAGTCCGAGGTGGTGGCCTACCAGATCCGCTTCGAGGGCACAGTTGATCCTAAGACGGCTATCAAGTTCATGACTGATGGTGTCTTGCTACGAGAAGTGGCGCAGGATATCACACTGAAGAAGTATTCGGCCATTGTCATTGACGAAGCTCATGAGAGAAGCGTCAACACGGATATCTTGATTGGTATGCTCAGCCGAGTTATCAAGCTCCGAGCAGAGCTAGCAGCAGAGGATCCTACAGTCAAACCCTTAAAACTCATCATCATGTCTGCTACATTGCGGATAGAAGATCTCACCATGAATCCGACGCTGTTTGCTACTCCCCCGCCAGTATTGGAGGTTGAGGGCCGGCAACATCCTGTCACCATTCATTTCTCCCGAAGAACTCAGCATGATTACGTGGAAGAGGCCTTTAGAAAGATTAGCAGGGGTCATAAGAAGTTACCACCTGGTGATATCCTTGTGTTCTTGACTGGCCGCAACGAGATTCTAGAGCTCAGCAAGAAGCTAAAGGCTACATTTGGCGGTCCAAAGACTGCGGATGGACCCAAAGTACAAATTTCTGCTAGCGAGGCTCCTATTGAGGTCGAGGATATTGAGTTTGGAGATGTGGATGACCGTACTGGTGATGATTTTGATGAGATACCCACAGATGACGAAAATGAGGACGACGAGGACGAGTTTCAGATCGAAGAGGACCAGGAGGTTGCACCATTAAAGATGCGAGTTTTGCCTCTTTACTCCTTGCTTCCAACACGCGAGCAGATGCGAGTCTTTGAGCGAGCACCTGAGGGTACACGAAACATCATCTTGGCAACCAACGTTGCGGAAACCAGTTTGACCATTCCTGGTATTCGATATGTCTTTGACTGTGGACGATCAAAAGAGAGACAGTATGATCGTCTAAGTGGAGTTCAGAGCTACGATATTGGATGGATCAGCAAAGCCAGCGCAAACCAGCGATCTGGTCGTGCTGGTCGTACCGGTCCTGGCCATTGTTACAGGCTCTACTCCTCTGCAGTATATGAGAGAGATTTCCCACCTTTCACAGATCCCGAGTTGTTGCGAATGCCTATTGAGGGTATCGTGCTACAGCTCAAGGCGATGAACCTGCAGCATGTTGTCAACTTCCCCTTCCCTACACCACCTGATCGACGAGCCCTTGCTAAGTCTGAAAAGCTTTTGACATATCTATCTGCTATCTCCTCAAAAGGACAAGTTACGCAGATTGGTCAAACCATGTCTGTGTTCCCTCTGTCTCCTAGGTTTGCGCGCATATTGCTAGTTGGCCATCTTCATGACTGCATCCACTACACAATTGCTCTTGTTGCTGGTTTATCAGCCGCCGAAATCTTCCTTCCTGAGAACCAAGCGATTCCTGCCCTCGCAGCGAAGGATGATACAGCTATTCGTACAACATCAGACGTCATTGCAGAAGATCGCCAAGCCAATGTGCGAAAGATGTTTAATGAGGTTCACAAGAACTTCTGTTACCTAGACGATAAATCCGATGCTATCAAACTTCTGCAAGTCGTGGGTGAGTTTGCTCACGAGCCTACAGAAGAATGGTGTGAGAGTCATTTTGTTCGATACAAGGTGCTTAAGGAGATTCAGCAACTGCGAAGACAGATCACAGAGTTATTGAGGACCAATGTTTCAGCTTTTACCAACCTGAAATACCAGGACAAGCTGGATCCCCCATCCCCCAAACAGGTCGCTGCGCTGAAGCAAATGGTCGCGGCTGGCTTCGTGGATCAGGTTGCTATTCGCGCAGATCTTACACCCAACCCCCCTGAGCAATTCCGCAAGCCTCGCCGGTCCATCGACGTTCCATATATCCCCTTGATTCCTATCCACGCTGGCAAGGAAGTTGAAAGCGACCATGCAGTATACATCCACCCCACCTCACCTCTTGCCCACATCAGTATTCAGGAATGCCCCGAGTACATCGTTTACTCTTATCTTCAGCGAGCCGCGCAATCAGTTGATGCGGAGAAGCGCCCCAAGACAAGAATGCATGCCCTTACAGACGTAACTGGCGGGCAACTAGCAGGGTTGGCTAAGGGAACGCCCCTTATCACCTACGGCAAGCCGATTAAGGAGCTCAAGCCCACAACGGGCACGGATGGAGCTACAGTAAGAGAGTGCTTCGTGGTTCCATATTTGAGAGCCGAGAGCACCGGTGGTCAAGGATGGCCTCTTCCCGCGAAGAAGGTGAAGCAGAGAAAGGTTCCTGGCAAGGGATGGGTTGTAGAGTAGAGATTGCAGATATGGAAGATGTTTTCGATAATTTAGTCTTGAAATAGACAGGATACCTCGTGGTTTATAAAAAATGGGATTTCATCTATATTTTCGTTCTGAGTCTGCAGTAAAAGTGTTGTGTGATTGGGTGATCTCGACGTCATTTTGCAAGATGATGCTATAGGTAATATGAGAACTTCAAATTACACGGTTTCAGTTGAGCTCATAAGACAAGAAGTGTGCGCTTGAGGTCCTCTTCTCGTGTGAGTCTAGACAAATTAATCATTAATATGTCTGAAAGATCCAATACCCTCTTCCGAGGTGTGGCTTTGGTAACCGGCGTCGCATCAGGTATGGCACACTGCTCCAAATAGCTATCTCATCTACTGGTACAAGGTATTGGACGTCAATTCGCTATATAACTTGCCATAAAAGGGTGTCGGAGGCTCACCTTGTTCGACAAAGACAGCACAGGTCTGAACGCTACCAAGGCCGCTATCAAAACTGTAAGCAGAGATGCAGATCCAGGTGTGCTCATCAGACACATTGATAACATTGACACATGTGAAGTTGGTGGGAACATGGAGCTTTCTATCAAGCATTTTGACGCATTAACTATGCCGTCAACTGTGCTGGTATGTCTATACACTGTTTTCCTTTGACTCCTGCTCACGATGGCTGGAAAGGAATCTACGTACCAACAAAGAAGAGTCATGAAGCCATCCCTGAAAAGTCTGATCATGTTATAAATACCAACTTGCGTGGTCTGTGGCTGTTTGCGAGAGAAGAGCTAAAAAGCTTATGATCAGTCAGGATGTTGGAGTTACTCATGATGGACGGCCTGGGTTTAGAGGTTCCATTGTCAGAGTTGGAAAACCTTGGCTATAGGGAAACCATAAACTCGTGAGAACACATTACTTTTAACAGACTCTAACCTTGAATGACAATTGGGGCAGCGATATATAGTGCTTCAAAGGCAGCTATCGTCAGTTTGACGAGAGGCAATGCTATCAACGTAAGTCCAACTAATGAATTGACGCTATCCTTTTGTTTCACACAAACAGTATACAAAAGATCAGATTCGTGTTAACTGCGGCTGCCCTGGAGTTATTGAGTAAGTTATCTCTTGATCTCACTGTGCCCATACTGATATCTCAGAACTCCTATGATGGCTAGTGTTCCGGAAGATGACCCGGCCGTACAGGCTGCCGTCAAGAAAAGAAAAGGAACCCCGCAGGAAGCAGCAAATGCTGTTATGCCCCTATCAAGTCCCAAGGCTTCCTTCATTCAAGGTGCTGCATTGTCAATTGATGGGGGCTATACTATTAGTTAAGTGTTAAAACAAATGACAAAGGCATAATAATAAACTGTATTGGGGTATCAAATTCCTGTATAGAAACTAAAAGCATCACTTTTCCCCAGGTTAACGCCATGCTCCTACCGGTAATAACTCAAGACGCAGCTGGTGTGCTAGTAGAGTTTACCATCTTGCTCTTCTTACGCTTAGGCTTGGGAGCAGTCGTTGATTTGGGTGTTCTCTCTTTGCTCTCCTTGCTTTCTTTCTTATCATCGATCTTTGTATTGATCGTCGTCGGCGCATTGATACTCCTAATGGGGCCATCCGTCTTTGCGATTTGTGGTGGTTTGCGGCCCGTTGTTGTGAGGTGGAACTCTCCTGGGCGGCCTGTGATAGGGTTCTCGTCGATGTATTCGCCCCCGTACTTCATGTGAATCATGAAAGACTCTTCTGCTAGTCTTTCTAGTGACTTCTCATCATCTTTCTGCGCGGCTGCTGCAGGGGCAGCTGGACCTTTACTAGCTTCATCAGACACAGGCATTGGGGTCGCCGCTGCAGAGTTCTGGATCCTTGGTTTTGTTGATGTCTTGGCTGATGGGAGCTGGTAAAAGTTACCCATAGAGGGACCCCATTTTCTGACAGACTCAGCAGTTGTCACGGCGTTGGTAACTTGCGAAGATATCGTCAACTATAACAGTGAGGTTAGAACTGTTCGCAAAACAACTGCTGCAAAGAACATACAATTCTTGCTGAAAGAATGGCACTGAGAGTTGGCGCCATGTAGATATTCTCCCCCACAACAAAGTATGTGGCATGAACAGTAATCTCGTCGTCATCATACGCTGACTTTCGTCTCGTTTGCTTACGAATGACCCATACACCGGTACCTGCTCCAGGGCCAGTTTCAGCAGGCTCTTCGACAACCCTGAACTCAAGCCCCGACATGGTGTTAAGATGCGTCTCGAAAGCTTCGCGTGTCTGAATGACTGGATACATCGATGGTACATTCATGGCTTGGTTATATACAACAGCGTTGTTCGACGTGCGCTCGAAGAAGGGCGATTCTGCGAAGTAAAAGAGGATGGTGTTATTGTGCAGGCCGCCCATTTGTTGAATCGCCATAGGAGAGCGCCATTGGATCTCATCGAGGGGAGGATCGTTTGGATTCGACATTGTGAAGAGTCCCGATTATTTTGCTAGTGTTATGTAGGAAAGTTCCTTTGTTGTATTTGGTGCTATGATGGTAATATTTCCTTGGAGTTCAGTGTAAAGGTTCAAGAAACGTATTGAAGCTCCAGCTCTATTTGACGTGGGGTTCCGCTTCTAGCGCGTTGCAAGGCGGCAGTGTTCCGCCTCAGCGACCCATCCAGTAAGAGGCGCGGCGCATCAATTTCAACCTCTAACCTTCAATCTCACAACCATCGCAGTTCGTAACGACGAAAAGAAAACCGTCCATATATCGACATAAAAAAGGGGCCGCATCCAGTTAAGGCCACCAGCACTAAAAACATACCATGGATCTGCTTTCAAGTATTCGCAAGACCGGTTCAAGAGGAGGCGTCAACTTTAGCTGGGATGAAGTCGCAAGCTCTTCACATCGCGAAAACTATCTCGGCCACAGTCTCAAGGCACCTGTTGGACGCTGGCAAAAAGGTCGCGATCTCAACTGGTATGCCAAAGCGGAAGACGATTCTGGAGAGCCCAAAGAAGATGGCGAGACCGAGGAGGAGCGTCGAGAGAGAGCGCGAAAGGAAGAGTTGCGCAAAATCAAGGAGGCCGAGGAGGACGCTATCGCAAAAGCCCTGGGGCTGCCACCCCCCGTAAGAAACTCTTCCGGTGCGAACGCAGTAGAGGTTGATCCCAGTAAACGAAAGGTTGGTCCGGAAAGTGGCCCTCCTGAGGAATCTGGGTACGAGAAGAGGGAGAGCTCAAGACGTCATGACGATACCGAGAGGCGAGAACGACGAAGACATCGAAGTCGCGAGCGCCGCCATCGACGACATAGGAGGAGCCGAAGTCGTGACCGTGGTGGAGGCAGGGAACGAGATGAGGATAGGCCAAGACACAGACACAGAGATAGGGATGGTGACGAGGAAAGTAGCCGTAGCCATAGACGTCACCGTGAGGGTCATCGAAGAGGAGCCACGGAGGAAGACGAACGACGCCACAGGGATAGCAGCAGGGAGCGCCGCCGATCAAGGTCGAGAGATAGACGCAGACGCAGTGCCAGTCCGAGGCCTCATCGTCGAGACTAAGGTCACCGCTTCTGGCCTTGAACTTCAAAACAGTCGAATATGAGATACCCCTCCCAGAGAAATCGAGGAAAAGCGTCAAGTCACCATTTGTATCCATCTTGCGTCCAAATCAATGAGTCAATTCTCAGCGCTTCCCATATAACAGGAAGCTTGCACACTTTTAAAGCTATTTACCTGGCCCAACGCCATACCAAACCACTGTTGTTACATTCATACTGTTACAAATTAAGACTGGCTAAGGGGTTGGCCGTCTTTAGCCTTCTGAGCACCATACTTCTCCAATCGGATAGACTGGATAGCAATGAAGCCAGTGCTATCCATGGGAGAAAATGTGTCAAGACTGTCCATTGAAGCATCTTCCTGGGAGTAGAGGCTGCTAGTCTCGCTGGATCGTCCAAGGACGTAAACATTGCCCTTGTACGCGCGGAGGCGGACTTGACCGTTGACACCCTTTTGAGCAGAAACAATTGCCTCATCGAGCCACTCACGCTCAGGGGAGAAATACATGCCATTGTAAAGGCACTGGGACCACTCGATAGTCACAAATTGGTCTCGAAGCTTGCGAACCTTGGAGTCAAGGACAAGACCCTCGAGATCGACGTGAGCAAGGCGGGCGATAGTGAGACCAGGGGTGTCGTAGCACCCTCGGCTCTTGAGTCCAATCCATCGGTTCTCGACACTGTTTAATTGTAAGCATAGTGTTGGGCCACAAGTCAATGTTGAAAACGGACGTACATGTCAATTCGGCCGACGCCGTGGTCGTGACCGATCTTGTTGAGCAGCTTGAACAACTCTACCGAGTCGGTGGCCTCTTGGTCAGGGGTAGTAACCTTGACAGGGAGACCCTTCTCGAAGTACACAGTGAAGTCGAGAGGCTTGTCGGGGGCCTCAAGAGGATCGACAGTCTGAGTCCAAAGATCCCTAGGAGGAGTATGATCGGGGTCTTCGAGAATACCGGCCTCGTACGAGCAGTGGACGAGGTTCTCGTCCTGGCTCCAAGGAGCCTTAGGGGTCGATGAAACGGGGATATTGTTCTCGGCGGCGAACTTAAGGAGATCCTGTCGACCTTGGAACTTTTCACAGAATTCGGGGAGTCGCCAGGGGGCGATGACCTTGATGGAAGGGTTGCAGGCCTTGAAGGCGAGCTCGAAACGAACTTGACTAAAGGGCTCTGTCAGTGATTTATGAATGGAAAATTTTCGTGATAAAAAGTGCCATACTCGTTCTGTGGCATGTTAGCAGGTTGTCCTCAAAGTCTGAGGGGGTCGACTCACGCCTTTGCCTGTGCAGCCGTGGCTCAAGAGATTGCAGTTGTACTTCTCAGCAACGCGGACCTGGGCGCGAGCGATGACAGGTCGGGCCAGAGCAGTTCCAAGGAGGTATCGGTCCTCATAGATGGCATTGCACTGGATTGCTCGGAAGACGATCTGCTCGACGAATTCCTTCTGGAGGTTTTCAATGATCATACACTCCGCACCGAGAGCGAGGGCCTTCTTTTCGACAGCATCGAAGTCCTCAACCTGACCAACATCCGCGAGGAAGCACTAAAGTATGTCAGATTGAACCTGCAGAAGCAGCTGGAGGAGGTTCACATACCACAACCTCATAGCCCTCGAGAATGAGCCATTTCAAGATAGTCGAGGTATCGAGACCTTGGCTAAATGTTAGCAATCAATCTCACACTTGATCACTCTGGGTGAAAGAGTCAGAAGTGTGTACCTCCAGAATAGGCACTGCAATCAAGTGTTAGCAAATGTTTTATTCTAATCAGCAGGCTATTATCAACGGCATATAAACTTACAGACAAACGCGGCCTTTTGACATTATGAAGTCGTTTTGTTGTGGGGTGTACTGTTATTTGGCTAAGATGAAGAGAATAGTGATGTTGAGTAGCAAGCTTTGGCGTGTGCAGGTGTTTGAGTTTCAGCAAATGAACAGAGGTGAATGGAATATATTATATACTACGAATTTGACTCACCTCTAAATACTTCCATCCTGTACAAAAAGCAAAATCCTAACTCGGGCATGGACCATGCGTATCACAAAATTAGTGATTCACTTACAAGACTTCGACCTCCGACTCCGGACTCGACCAACAATCTACACAATGACCTCAGAAATTACCAAGATAGATTCCAGTTACAGGCTTGGCAATCTCTTGATAGGAAGCCAGTCATAGCTATTTGTTAGGGGCGGGGGAGAAATTACTATCCATGGTTCCATTTTGAGATGCGAATTCGGCAGCCCAAGGCGATTGTTGACTCAATATCAAAATTTTCGATGGATGGGTCTAAGCACGGCTGGCCCGAGCTACTCATTATAAGTTGATAGGATCCACGGCGGGTAGTAGCGGTGATTCTTTTTTCGACGAGGCCCACGGCAGCTTATGTTCGTTGGAAAATGCCTACCCAGTAGAAACATATTGGATGTAACTCTGATGCACTTAGCCTTCGAGTCTCAGTAATGCCGGGAGGTTTATCAGTTTGTGATGCATACTGCAAATAGCGTCGCACAAAGCTTTCAGTCAAATTCACTCTCGAGGGATTCTTCAAGTCATCAAAGAAAAATGCTATTGAATAAAACCTCAGATCCGCCACCTCAAAGTAATCGGACTTTTATACGAACGGGAGTATGAGGCCCACCTCAGTAATCTACTCTAGAAATTAGCGTTGATGATCATTAGAACTGGCCCGGACCTAGGTAGCGGCGAGGCTGCCCCAGATCGCTATATCTTCCAGCGCGATGGTGATGGTGTGAGTCGATATCCATCTTGATTGGCCAGAGACAGTGGACAACGTCACTTTCAGGGACCACCTCTAACAGCCTCGGGGTCTTTATGCAACCACGAGTTTGAGATCATATGAACGATGAAACCATCTTCATACCTCTCTAACTGGACTTCTGATTTCTGAACGCCATCCCCTTCTGCCACGCCGTTTGCTTCCTATTGTGATTCTGTCACATTCCCCTATATACTCGGGGTTTGATAAAACCTAATTCCGTTTGCCACTCCTCACCGTTGTACGTAGTCGCTGTCTGCCTTGCTTATACTCCAAGACCACTTCCTTAAACTCATTCAAGAAAGTATCATTACTAATAAATAATAGATTACATGTGTCTCTTTCCTTTTTCTGAACCTAAATCTTTCAACCACTTACCGTTCCGTCGACACAATAATGCCCCTATAAACCTCATCACAACCCTGCCACGATGGACTATTCAAGACTACGAGCCGCCGCTCTCCGCGATGGCGAAGACGAGGAAGCCGTTACCGTCGATACTCGAGCTCTTATCGACAAGGTTCTTGCGCGATACTCGGGCGAGTGGACAACATTGCGAGAACTGATCCAGAACGCTGCGGATGCCCAGGCAAAGACTGTCAGCGTCAAATGGGAAACTCTCCCATCAACACAGGTGCCACTACCGAATACCACGAGCCGATCCGAGATACTGAAACACACCTTGTCGAACCATACACTACGCCGATTAGTCGTGCAGAACGATGGACAACCCTTCACAAAGACAGACTGGGGAAGACTAAAGCGTATTGCCGAGGGCAACCCCGATGAAACGAAGATCGGTGCCTTCGGTGTCGGTTTCTACAGTGTTTTCGCTGACTGTGAAGAGCCGTTTGTCAGCTCCGGTAACGAGGCCATGGCATTCTACTGGAAGGGAAATGCACTCTTCACAAAGAAGTCTCAAATTCCGGCAGATCAAGCTACACATCATACAACATTCGTCCTCGACTACAGGAATACAACCACACCCCTCCCGAACTTGTTGTCTGTTAGCCAGTTCCTTGCGACGAGTTTGACCTTTGTTGCGCTCGAGCACATTGAGTTCTGGATTGATGACTACCAGATTCTGTCTTTGAAGAAAAAGTCATCTCCGAGTGTTGAACTTCCTCTTCCTCGCGACCTCGAGGCGAGGACAAAGGATGGCCTAATGAGAGTTACTAGTGTTGACCGCACAAGCACGCAGATCGATGCGTCTTACATGGCCGCCATAGGATGGAAACCGCAAGCTACGGCATCCACCACAAAGAATGAGTCCTACGGCGCCCCTGAAACTCCTTCCTTGAGATCCTTCTTTGCCCGCCTTACGTCAAGTGCGTCACAGGCAGGCATTAGGACAAAAGCACAGCACGAGGAGAATGCTGCGCAAGTGACGATTTCCGAAGATGTGACTAAGCTTTCGTCCTCCACAATCTTCCTTCGAGCGACTTCTGCAAGCATCCGTACAAGCGTAGCCTCGTCCTTTGCTTCCGAACTCGAAAGAGCGACGAAGAAACCCCCGCCAAAGACAACCAAGATCGCCATCCTAACTTCGTCTTATGATGAGACTCAAGCTTCACAAGAGGCCGCAACATCGGGGGCGCTTGGCAAAGCCACAGATGTCTTTGCATCTGTGCTTCCCAATAAAAAGCCGGGCGGTCGCATCTTTATTGGCTTTCCCACCATGCAGACTACTGGAGCTGGACTCCATATCTCAGCACCGTCCGTGATTCCCACAGTGGAAAGAGAGGCTATCGACTTGAATGCCCGCTGGGTCAGGACATGGAACCTTGAAATTCTTCGTGCTGCTGGCATCATTACTCGGCTTGCTTTTGCCAACGAGATGAGCGACCTGAGCAGCCGAATCAAACAGGTTATGGCAAAAGAGACCAAATTCTCTCCCGCAGTCATCGCCAAGTTCATGCCAGAAGCTCTTCACATTCACAAGACCTTCACATTTGAGGACTCAACTCCCAGCGGTCAAGTTGGTCAGATTATTGAGGAAGCTTTTTGGATGTGCTTTAAGAAGGCCTCGATCGAGACCTACTCAACACGAGGCGTGTTGCAAACAGTCGATGTGCGCATTGCTTCGGATGAGATGAGTAAATTCGTCAACAGCATCCCTGTTGTACCAGAGGAAATGAAGGGTGTTCCATTTGTGAAGAAGCTCATAGATTTCGGTCTCATTTCACACATCACGGTCACAGATGTGAAGAAGGAGCTGGAGACAAAGGCTATGAACAAAGTTCAGTTGATGAACTTTATCAGTTGGGCAGGCAAGAAGAGCTTGAGTGGTGAGCTCGACCCTGGCAGTCGATCCGCCTTGCTAGAAGTAGCTGTCGGCACGATGAGTGATGATGGGGAACAAGGCGAGATCATTGCCCTTGGTAGCATTCGGAATCACCTCATCGCGAACAGGATTCCTGCCAACTTGCCCATTCCTCCCACAACAATCCCTCATGCGCTCACTGCCAACTCTCAGCAGGCTGAATTGCGTGCTTTAGGATGGGAGCCGCTAGAAATTCTCCCATGGTTGAGATTCCTTCTGGACACAAATTCTTCTAGACCCGAGGAGCAGAACTTGACTCAATCATCCAAGTTTGCAATTCAGATTTTGACTGTCCTTGCAAAGAACTTTGAAAACTCAAGCCCGAACGCAAGGACCACCATTGTTTCTCTTCTTCAAGCAAATACAGTTGTCCCTACAAAGCAGGGTATGAGAAAGCCTACTGAGTCCTTCTTCCCGATTGTCAAACTTTTCGACGATCTTCCGGTCATTCAAGGTTGCGAGAAGATCAAGGAGAAATTTCTGGTCACTATTGGCGTTCGCAAAACTGTAGATCTCGAGACCATCTTTACCAGGCTGTTGAACGCCTCTGGTGAAGGTCATCAGAAATGGAGTCACATGGAACTCATCAAATATTTAGCATCTGTCCGCGAGGATATTCCAGGTGAAGACCTGAGCAAGCTAAAACAGACACGCTTTTGCCCAGCCGAAGCTGGTCCAAAGGGCATGGAGTCCACCAAGGGAACGACAACGCTTTACAAAGTTTCGGAACTATTCGAGCCTAAGGACTCTTTGCGTGCATTGCGATTACCTATCCTCCAGTGGCCAGGGCCTCCTGGGAGCTATCGACCTGGAGGCCCAGAAGCTCGATTCATAAATTCTCTTGGACTGAGGCCTTATCCATCTGTCCCTGAACTCGTTGAGCTAATGTCTGGCAACGATGAAAGTCTTCGGGTTTCGTCTATGACATATTTCCTCGCCAACCACCAGATCAATGGATACGGGTCATTCCAGCTCGGTGGCAGTCCCAAGGCAATCATGCCTCTCCAGGGTAGTACCCGTCTTGTACCGCCTTCACAGTGCTTCTACAATCCGCGAGCGTCTATCCTTGGGTTTAACATTTTGAGGAAAGATCTACACGACCATGCTATTGTAAGTTTGATCTAAAAGTTGGCAAAGACTCAGCTAATATCTATAGAAATTTGGTGTTGCACGAGATCCGCCAATGGTGGACTGTGTCAACCGTCTCTTAGCATCACGTCCTCAAGATCATCAGAATGCTGTGGCACTTTTCAGCTATTTCGCCTCTCGAATCACAGAACTCGGCGAGAATACCCTAGTCAAATTGCGTAACGCCTCGATAGTTCCTATCACAAGGACTACTCGATCGTCTGAGAAATCAACTTCTTCCATGACTCATGTCAGTCCTTCACGGGTGTACCTTGGGGCTTCAACTACATATGGAGACATCTTCGATTTTGTCGACTTTGGCCCTGAGGCGAATGCATTCTTGTTCCAATGTGGTGCCAAAAGCGAGCCCACCAAGTTGGAGGTTGCACAAATGGCATGCAGTGAGCCAGCCCGTCTCCTCGGTGTTTTACAGAGTTCTGAGAAATACCTGGATCTTCTTAAATCCTTAGCAGAAGCATCCCCAACACTCCACCGAGACAAAGAATTATGGAGGAAAATGCGTACAGCGCCCTTCCTCCTTGCATACAAAGAACTCGCGCCCCCCAAGGGGAAGTCCGACGACTTAGAGGAAG